TTCTTGTGTATTTTTATCACCTACAGTTGGCATTAGAGCAAGGTCTGTACGTAACACTTAACAGTGGTATAGTCAAAGATCCAACGAGAAAAATGTGGATCCTAAGGTTACAAATTCTAGTACCTCAAAGGGGATTCCCTATGATTAAAATAGCTCTGAGAGAAATTATTATACTGCTAAACCTCCTATATTCAGTGGTGACTCTACTGAATTTGAATGGTGGAAAAGTAAGACGTACACGTATATCATTGGACTCGATGATGAGATATGGGATATTCTTGAGGATGGAATTGACATTCCTGTAGATAGTGTTGGTATGGTTGCTGACAGAAAAGCTCTGACTCTAGCTCAAAAGAAAATCTACAGAAAATATCACAGAGTTAAAGGTATTCTGGTTGATGCACTTCCACATGCTAAGTATTTGAAGATCATTGATAATTTCTCTGCTAAGACTATCTTTGAGTCGATGTGTTCTACTTATCAAGGAAATCAACAAGTCAAAGAAGACAAACCTAGCTTGTTGATACAAAAGTATGAGTTATTCAAAATGAAGGATGGCGAGGATATTAAAACTATGTTCTCTAGGTTTTAGGTTCTTGTCTCAGGCCTTCAAGTTCTGAACAAAAGCTACTCAACAGCTAATCATGTGAAGAAAATTCTGAAAAGTATCCCTCAAAAGTTTACACCTAAAGTAACAACTATTCAGGAAGCTAAAGATCTGAATACACTATCTCTTAAAAGTCTAATAAGCAATTTTCAAAGTCACGAGATGGAAATCAATGGAGATGATACTTATAAAAATTTTAAATCTCTCACATTGAGATCTGCCTCTGAAAAATCTGGTGACAAGTCTAGAAGATTTTCAAAAAATGGTAAAGCTGATGAATCTTCCGAAGAAGAATCTGATGAAAGATCTGACGAGAAAGACATGGCATGCTTCATCAGAGGAGTAGAGCAAATGTCCATAAGAAGCTGAAGATTCTCTAAAAATAATGGGAGGATAAACCTCAAAGATGAAGACAAAATCTGCTACAATTGCAACAAACCTGGACGATTTAAAAGTGATTGTCCCGAACCTCTCAAGGACAATCAGAGAAAAGGAAGTTATCACATTTAACAGTGATAACTCGACCATGGAGTTTTAGCTCCTTTGCAAAACCTTTAAGCCACAATGCTTCCTTCACAGCTTCAGTTAGGGCAATATATTCCGCTTTATTGGTTGATAAGGCAACGACCTTCTGAAGTGTTGCTTTCAAACTAATTGTTATCCCAAACATAGTGAACACATACCCAGAAATAGATTTTCTGGAATCCATACAACCTACATAATCAGAGTCGACATATCCTTCGATTGCTGCTTTACTATCTTCACCCAAGGCTCCACCATAAATTAGGACTCTATTCAGAGACCCATTTATGTACCTTAGAATCCACTTCAATGCATTCCAGTGAGCCTTTCCAGGACTCGCCATGTACCTGCTTACAAGACTTATTGCATATGATATGCCAGGTCTAATACATACCATAACATACATCAAAGAACCTACTATGTTAGCATATGGAATATTATTCATATAAGTTCTTTCAACATCAGTGTTGGAACACTGATCTATACTTAGCTTGAATTGAGGGTTTTTCGGAGTCACGACAGGCTTTGAATTCAACATACCATACTTTTCGAGAACCTTCTGTAGGTATGCCTCTTGAGATAAGCATAATTTTGACTGCTTTCTATCTCTTCGGATGTCAATCCCAAGAACCCTAGACGCAGCTCCCAGATCCTTCATGTCGAACTCCTTATTGAGTTCAGCCTTCACCCTCATTACCTCTTCGACATTGTTGCTTGCGATTAGAATATCATCCACATAGAACAACAAAATAACAAATGAATTACCCGATCGAAATTTGAAGTAAACACAGTGGTCGAACTGACTTCTGATGAAACTTATGCGTGCCATGAACTTGTCGAATCTCCTATTCCATTGTCGAGGAGATTGTTTCAGTCCATATAAGGATCTATTCAGCTTGCACACATAATCTTCCTTCCCTTTTTTGACATACCCTTCAGGTTACCTCATCAGGATTGTTTCATCTAAATCACCATACAAGAACGCAGTCTTCGCATCCATCTGTTCCAATTCAAGGTTGAACTGTGCCACTGTGGCAAGCAACATTCGAATGGATCTATGCTTCACAACAGGAGAGAACACATCATTGAAGTCGACACCTTCTTTCTGAGTGAACCCCCTAGCAACCAATCTTGCCTTATATCTCTTCGACGCCACTCCTTCGATTTCTTCCTTAACTTTGAAAATCCATTTACAACTGACTAACTTGGCTCCAACAGGTTTCTTGATTAGTTCCCAGGTGTTGTTATGATGAAGAGATTTCATCTCATCATCCATGGCCTTCAGCCATTCCATCTTCTTTCGATTCCTCATAACTTCCTTATAGTCTCTAGGTTCTTCGTCTAGAACCTCACTTGCAGAGATTAAGGCATAAGCTATAAGATCTGCATACCCAAGTCTCTGAGGTGACTTGATGACTCTCCTCGACCTGTCTCTTGCTAGCAGGTAGTCATTATCAGTCTCCTCATCTTCGATAACATCTTCTGCGTCTTCTTCGACTTCATCTAGGATACGCAATTCAGCATCAACATGCTCCACCTTAACAGGATCTCTCCCTGTTCCAGCTCTTCGTCAACATCATCAGTTTTCTTGAAGGTCATCTCTACTTCAATGAAAACTACATCTCGACTGGTGATACACCTCCTGTGACCTGGCTCTAGGCACCATAGCCTATAAGCTTTGACTCCTTCAGGGTGTCCCATGAACATGCATTCAGAGCTCTAGGTTCGACCTTGTCTTGCCTAATGTGAGCATAGACTACACAACCAAATACTTTCAGTCTGTAGAGACTAGGTGGATGTCCCGACCAAACTTCTTCAGGTGTCTTCATTCCCAAGGCAGACGAGGGACATCTATTTATTAGGTAAGTTGTTGTCGAAACAGCTTCCGCCTAAAACAACTTCTTCAATCCAGCACTAACCAACGTGCATCTAATCATTTCAAGGATTGTTCGATTGAATCTCTCAGTTAAGCCATTTTGTTGAGGAGTGTCCGCTACAGTCGTATGCCTTGCAATCCCAGACTCAATACAGTAACTGTCGAACGCTTCGTTGCAGAATTCAAGGCCATTGTCGGTTCTCAACCTCTTAACCTTTCTGCCAGTTTGAGTTTCGACCAGAATCTTCCAACTTTTGAAATTCTCAAAAGTTTCATCCTTCGTCTTTTGAATGAATACCCATAGCTTTCTGGAATAGTCATCAACTATGGATAGAAAATACCTTGCACCTGAGTGTGAAGTATTCCTTGTAGGCCCCCAAAGATCAACATGAATGTAATTTAGAGATCCATGTGTTCTTTGCTTGCCTTTTTTAAACTTAGCTCTACAAGATTTTACCAAATACACAAGATTCACAAAACTCCAACTTTTTGACTCTGTCACCTCCTAGCATGTTCTGCTTCCCCAATTCGACCAGGCCTCTTTCGCTGACATGACTCAATCTCATGTGCCATAATTCTGTCTTCGACACAGGTTTCGTGGATGCAACATTTGTCGAACCACTTGCAACATTTGTAAAAAAAAAAATATATATATATATATATATATATATATATATATATATATATATATATATATATCCAAAAAAAGATTTATTAATTATTTAATATATTTAATTTTTAAAAATAAATATCAGAGTAATATTTTTTTTATAATATAAAAAAATAAGAAATCATTTGAAAATGGTGCAAATATATACCGTATCAAGTATGATTAAAAAACAAATCAAAATAATCAAAATTGACAATACATACACATTGGAAAAAGAGTAATACAATTTGACTGTGGAAAATGTTTCTAAAGACATGTATTGGACAACAACTCCGCTTACCGTGCGCGCACTTTGTTTGATTACGAGTCCATTTTCTTTTATAGCACAACGACACTCCCTCGGTAACATAAGTAAAATTCATCTTTTCCATACTTAAAATAAACAATTATTGGTACGAAAAACTTATTTCAAGTGATATAATTTAAAAATAGTTTTTATTATATTACTACCATTTATTTTAAAACTTAAAAAAAATATTTTAAATATATTCGATAGCATTTCTCTTTATAATTTATAAACGTTAATCTAATATATAGAATAGAAACGTGGACAGAGTTAGCTTCAACTACTCATTTGAATGGAAGGGTATATTTAAAAGCTAAAACATGCTATTTTCAACTTGAAGGACCATTTCTATTTTGAAATCTCCTAAAGTGTTGGCAAAGTGGACCTTAATTCTAATTCCTTCCCCACTCCGTCATAAACAAGCTACTAACAACCTGTCCAGGTTCATTCCACCCAATCTTATCTATCACACGCTTAACTTAAGGCAACAACCACTCGCACGTCGCATAACTTAAATTCACCCCAAATATCGTCCAGATTCAAACTAAAAAAGTCGGTAGTTACTATTTTAATTGTAACATTAATAGTTTGGTATAATAGTAGTTACAAATTGTAAATGTGCAAGAAAAGAAAGCACGTGATAGACAAGTTGGTGGGGTCCAAGCCGTTAAATTCGCGTAATGTTTTCATCCATAAATACCAACCTTTTCTCAACTGTAATTGCTCGAGAGAAATAGAAAGAAATTCAATTGAAAAAGAGGGGAATCTCTGTAACCCTAATTTCATTCATAAACCCTAATTTGTTTCAGTTTCCTCTCTTTTCAATACCTTAATCCTTTCTCGTTTTTCTCCTCAACCTTTCCAGATCCAAATGTAACAAGAATCTATCTCTTTTTTATGCTATGATGAATGTGGTTTTGATACGAACATTTGAAGCTATTGCGATTCGTTTTTGGTTTTCTTATGTTTAGTTCATTGGTTTATTTTCTTGAAATTAACTGAAAACTGTTTTTGTTTTGGTTTCAGAAATAGAATAGCCATGGTTTTCTGGGTTTTTGGATATGGTTCACTGGCATGGAACCCTGGGTTTGAATATGATGAAAAAATTGTTGGTTACATAAAGGACTATAGGCGAGTGTTTGATTTAGGTAAAGCCATTGCTTCATATGTTGGTAGATTTTGAGTTTTGGATTTTCATTTCTGTGTGTACTTTAGGTTATAGCTTAGAGATATGGTTTCATTTTTTTTTTTGCAGCTTGTATTGATCACAGAGGAACGCCTGAAAACCCTGCAAGAACGTGCACTTTGGAGGAGAAAGAAGGGGCGCTTTGCGTAAGTGCTTATTTTATTTATTGATTGTGGCTTTTGCATATTTGGAGTGTTGGATTTTTTTATTGGTGATAGCTTTAGCTTATCTTAATGTGGTTATTTTTGTGATTAATTTCTTATAATTTTTTTTTGTTCTTTTATTAGTGGGGAGTTGCATATTGTGTTCGAGGTGGTCCTGAAAAGGAGAAACTTGTTATGCAGGTAAAATTATGTTCTTTAAACAAGATTCTAAGCTAGTTTTCTAGCCTATAATAGTTTTGTTAATGAGAGATTCTTTTACCATTTGGGGTATTAATTTATCCACTCAAGTATTGTTATCTATCCATTATTACCAGAACATAGTTCCATTTTTGGTGAGTTAATAAGTAAGTAGCCTTCTAGGTTATGGCATTTAATATGTGATTCTAGACTAAATACGGCTATAAGGATTTTGATATACTCAATGTTTGATGAACTTTCATTGTTTTATCATTTTGTTGTGTAGTATTTGGAGCGGCGAGAATGTGAGTATGATCAAAAGACTCTGGTAAACTTTTACAAGGTTAGTTTAATTCAACCATTTGGTTTTTTATACAGTTAGTTGTGATTGATGGTATTGTTTTATCTGTAAATAGCTGTTTCTAACTTATTGTTTGTTGTCTTTTCTTTAGGAAGGAGATTCACTGAATCCTGCTCTTACTGGTGTTATTGTGTAAGTTATTAGACAATGTGTTTGATTATGGTTAGCTTATTTATCTACATTTCATAAATTGTTTGTTCATACCTAATAAAACTAGTTTGCTGATAGAACTCATTTGTGTGCAGATTCATGTCTACTCCAGACAAAGTTAACAACAAATACTATCTAGGACCTGCTCCGCTGGAGGACATGGCTAGGTATATTTTTGTACATTGCCTCTCCTGCGTATCTATGTGAATGTATTTCCCTGACCTTTCGTTCTTTTCACTCTGCTTATTCATTCAGGCAAATAGCAACTGCTCATGGCCCTTGTGGAAACAATAGGGACTATCTTTTTCTTCTAGAAAAGGCTATGCATAATCTCGGTATGCACATGATCACTTTTATTTGTATTCTATATATGTGCTTCTCCTACATTATGTTTTTAAAATTTGCAAATATTTTTACTCTTTTACTTCATGAGATGATGACTTCAGATCTGTTGTGCACAGGTCATGAGGAGGACTATGTGATAGAACTTGCTAATGAAGTGAGGAAAGCACTTGGAGTGGATAATGTAGTGCCAAATGACAAGAAATTGGTTGGACCAGCACAACTTCAACACCAGCCACATGTACCAATTTCAACCCTTCCCTTGAATCCATTGCCAGAGCCTATTGCATTGGATAGTTGAGAAGCTGCAGATTACAAAAGTTGATGCCGATCTCTGTGGACCCTGCTAACCATCAATCAATTTTTTTAAATCTTATAGTTGCCCACTTCTGCTAGGTTTAGCTACTTTTTCACCCATTCCCTTGAGATGTTGGTTATATCATGAGAGACAATTTTCTGAATTGGAATGTGCGCCGAAACTTTACATGTTTATCAATTAGGATAATTCCTATTTAACCAACGGCAATCTTGCATAACAGAAATGAGTCTATTTTTTTTAGCAACTAAATATTTGTCTATTTAAATTTCATCCATTCTCTTTTATAAATAAATTTTGTTTTTTAAATTTATTGTATAATCTAGTTTATATAGTTTAAATATATTATTCAATCAATAAATCTAAAAATTAAAACTTGTTTATAAAAGAAAATGGAGGGAATATATTTTTATATTAATAGGCTGGATTATATTTACTCTTTTGAAATGAAATAAAATTCAAATTACAATTCAAGGTGACCCTTTAAGATTTCTGACAGCAAATTGAACAAATAATATCGACATTATAAGCCTCCATAATTTAACGAGAAATTTGTAGCTTAAGTGCAAAACAATTATCTCTAAACTTAGACTTTATTTCGAATATTCAAATGGTCGAAAGATAGATACATGTGTTATGAGTCTGTCTTCCACAAAAACTCGTGCTAAACCTAAGGCTAAGGTAAAAACTCGTGCCCGTTCTAATCATGCATTCATGTTTAAATATCCTGCACAAAAACCCAAAGTTGTGAAAGACTCTAGGAAAACTAACCCTAAAGGGCCCATAAAGATGTAGGTACCTAAGGACAAAATAATATATGTTGCAGATATCCTTAGAAGTGGAGTTAAGACACCGGTCATGGTACCTGGACTCTGGATGCTCACGATACATGACGGGAAGAAGACATATGTTCCAAGACCTAAAACTTAAGCTTGGAGGCGTCGTAGGTTTCGGAGGTGATAAAAAATGGAAGATCGTTGGCTCTGGAACAGTAGGTAACGATAATCTCCCTTCCATTACTAATGTTCTTATTGTTGAAGGATTAATGCATAACCTTATATCCATAAGTCAATTAAGTGACAATGGTTATGACATTATTTTCAATCAAAATTTCTGTAAAGTTGTCATTCAAAAGAATGACTCAGCTTTTCTCAATGGAAAGAGAAAGAACAACATCTATAAGATCAGACTCTTTGATTTGAAGAATCAGAATGTCAAATGTCTTATGTCTGTTAACGAAGGGAAACGAACATGGCATAGACGATTGGGTCATGCTAGCATGAGGAGGATTTCTCAGCTTAACAAACTCAATTTAGTCAGAGATCTGCCAAATATGAAGTTTTCTTCACACGCTCTTGTTATACCCCAAATTTGTCCTACCTTGTATATAACGTTTATATGAACAATTGTTATTCAAAATCCAAAAATATGTGCCTGTTGTTTCATTTTTTCTTATTGTTAGAGCTCAGGTGTTGCAAGGTTGAGTCAGAATTTAGTCAAGGCTATCAGGGCAAATGTGTGTGCAGTGATTGAAACCCAGATGAATTTGTTTCATGCTTAAGTTATCAAGTCAAGTGCTTCATGGTTGAAGATCATTAAGACCAGTTCATTCTCCAACTATGGTTTCGTGCAGTGCAGTTCAAATCTCAAGTTAGGATTCTCTGATTTTTCAAGGCATATTTATTTGATCCCTTATGAAGATTTTGATTCATCAAGATTCAAGTGGCCAAATTCTGACTTATTCATTGATTCAAGGCTCCAGTCCACTCCAAGTTCAAGATGAATTCAAGATTGATTCGTTGATTCAAAATTTTAATCCATTCAAGGCCAATGTTGAGTTATGCTTGATTATTTCTCAGGATCACTTCAAGTTTTATTCATTTCAAGTGAGAATTCAAAAAAAAAAAGGTGAAATTTGGCTTGTGAGTTTTCTTGGATCACATAAGAAGTTCAAGTTTGATTGTCATGATTTTAATCAAGAATCAAGTTCAAGGAATTCTCATGCATAATCCAAGAGTAAATGTGGATGTGCAAAGTCCAATTCCAAAGTTCAAAGACCTATTTACATCACCATTATTCTATAAAAATCCTACTAATGAAATTGCAACAAAAAGGACAAGGCCCACATTCTTATTCCAAGTCTATTACAACAAAGAAATTGCGCCAAAAAAAACCCAAAGAAAATAGGCCCATTACATTTTTTCTCATTTCAAATCTATTTACAAATTTCAACAATAATTACATGAAAAAAAACCATACAAGAACTAAAGGCCATTCTAAAAAAAAAGGGAAAAAAGACGGACCAGCTGCTAAAAGCTTCACACCGCCCTTGCAAAGCCAAATCCAAAAAGGACTGAGTCTCACGTACCGCCATTTTTCCATGACCCCACAGACTCACTTCCAAATATCCAAAATGTAACATTTTCTACTGAAAAATACACACAGTGACGCACACCACAACAAAACAAAAAAAGACCATCAGGCCACTCTCGTCACACCATCCCGCTGCTACCACAACAGACACACCAGAAAAAAGACATGCAAAACTCATGAGAAACCTGCTACAGTCCTGCTTCAAACTTGTGTATACAGCAACAACAACAACTCAATGCCCAAAAACCTGCACAACCACAGAAGAATTGTACCTAAAAAAAATTCATCAACAAGTTTTGATGAGTTTAAAAGAAAATGGGAGAGAAAAAACCGAGGACTGATATCCTCTTCAACACAACATCAAACCTTTTTTTCAAATAACAATAAGGCAGTAATACCACCCTTCAATCTTCTCCCATCATCCTCTCAACAAATCACGACACCCTCATAACACACCAGAACCAAGTTAACTTCAAATATTTTCTTCCCGTTCTGACAACAAACCCGAGAATCGCCATACCTTACTTGCATCGTTGATTGAGGAAGAGAAAGCCGTGAGAAGAGCGAGATCGCGAGAGAATATGAGAAACCCACAACAAACTTAAATGCAGCAATCCTCCCAAAACAAACAACCCTTTCTTCTTAAATCGACAAATCTCCCATAACCTTCATAGCTTCATACCCATAAAACACTCACCGAAACTTTCCTCTTCACAAACGCCCAACCCAGTTCATCTATCTCATCTTCCTTCAAACCCCAAACCCCCAAACCTTCGGTACAACCCATACTTGAATCAAGAAGCAAGCGGATTTCGAGAAAATCGAACGAGAAAACAAGACTGGAGAGAAGGTTTTGGCTTTCGTTCCCGGCTCGTTTTACGGTTAAAGATGATATTGCCATGAGTTGATCGTGATTTTGAGAGAGGAAATTTGGATTTCTTCTTTAACTCGAGTTGGATTTCCGATTCCAAATGGGTCGTTGATGTTCTAACAAATGCCCTATGACTTTTTGTTTTTCTTTTTTCCTTCTGGTAACTCATGGGCTTTAAAGGCCCATAGTAATTACTCTCCAGCGCACCCCCTTGTTTCCTCTAACATGCTGCATTTTGGAGGGGTGGATGATGGGCTTTAGCCCATATGATTCCACTCCTAACACACCTCCATTCTGCTTTTCCTCACCCCCTCCTTGTTTTGTTTTTGTTTCAATTTTTTTTGTTAATTTTTCATTTTGGATAATATTTTTGGTATTAACATTTGCTAAAACCTTTTTGTTATTTGTTAATACTTTGTTTTGCTAATGATTTTTGTCAAATACTTCACTAAAGATTTTGTTGAAATATTTTTAGTTTGTTTTAGCATTTGTTAACCATTTTGGATCTTTTTGTTAGATTTACTATTCTTGATTTATTTTCATGAAAATTTCGTCTTCATTTTTTCACTTTATTTCATTTTGGGTCGATGATGAGACCTCCATAAGTTATTATCGGTCAAATTATTGATAGATAATAATTTATCCGAGACCGCCTTCTTTTCTCTTTCAATTTCTTCTTCATTTTCGATTTTATTTATTTTTTCTGATCTATGAAGTCTTTCGATTCGTAAACGTCGATTTATCGAAGTCGATAACCTTCACAATATCAAATCTATGGAAAATGATCATTTTGGTCATTTTCTCTACTTTGGGATCGTGATAGGCTACCTTCGATTAATCGACACGAGTTTATGATTAAGACGAGATCCCACCCTTCTTTTGTCTGTGCAACACGATTAAATCGAAGAATGATCCTCAATATCATTTCTCTATCTTGTTTTTAGCACAGATATCAATTTACACGACCTCCTATAGTTAGACTTTCATCATAAGTCGAGCTACGACGGTTTAGCATTACATTTTGTCTCGATTCAATTCAATAGCAAACTAACAACTGACTTTACTTTCCATCAATATACCACTTTTTATTTTCAGTCGATATTATCTTGATTTATATTATCTTGTTCATATACTTGTTGATATCTATCTTGATATATTATTGTGAATATTCTTGTATATATTGTTATATATCCTGTATATTATTCACATCTTGTATACATTCATATTCATTTCTTCTCTTACTCACATTCTTTCAAAACACATAATAACTATCGAAACCATAAAATCCTAAATTGGTGGACTGTTGTTATTTGTCCGAGTGACGGATCTTTAAACATTGTCAGAAACCCTAGCTTGGAGTTGTGTTCAACTTTCGCTCAAGGCTTAGTTTAGGATACATTGCACACACACGACTTCCTCTTAGGCTACCTGACAATGAGACCTTTTATTTCGTGCAATCCCGTGTAATTTGCATGTACCCCTCTCCCATTTTCGATGTACGCTTTCATATTTCTTTGATTGTGGTTTATCTTCTAGGAGCACCCCCAGGGACTAGCGTAGATTAAACCGTTTTCAAACTAATTCTCGATTCGTCATCGAGCCATTTTCAAACACCCCTCTGTAAGTCAAGTGCTCGTCCGTATTCTCCATCAACCTATCGCACACACTGTCACACTTCATTGTGGTTTCGGTATTAGGAGCACCCCTAAGGACTAGTATCGTTTCTCATACTTTAACCCTT